GACGGTATAATTGGATCCATTAAATATTATCCACAGTTGATGATTATATTTCCTCCAGGTCAAAATCACCACAAAGCAATGACAGCAATTATGCCATAGAAATGAACTGTGGTTCTTTTGAAGGTGGATCATTGTAATAAATGCAGCAGAAATGTCTAACAATGGCAGTTAGCCTGACTGCATTAGCTGCTGTTTTTAAATTATTATTGTTATTTATTAGGATGATTATGATGGTTATTATTATAAACTTTTATTCATTAAACATGAAACTCAGTCAACTGAACATTTAAAAATGTATCACAAATATCATTGACCGTGGCTCTGATGGTTGATACTGGTTGCTGCCAGCATCCTAGGTACCAACCATGTCTCTTCTTAAAATGTGTGTTGTTCCGAGTAGCGCAGTCCAGTGGTAGGATTGAAATAACAACCGGTTCTCTGGCTGGGTAGGTATGGACGGTTGGTCATGTGACTGGGTGGGTGATATCACTCATCGCACCTAACCCTGCCTCTTGACCACTCACCTCAAAGGCAGAGGTACGATTCAGCCGGTTGGGGCTAATCCCACCTGGCCCCACCCCTGTCCATTTTGGGGGGCGTTTTCAGGGTGTTTTTCGGGGCATTTTATGTCAGGTGTGTTATGGGCCAGATGTCTATGTGTTTGGATCCAAAAATCCCACAGGATCTTGACTTGCTAATTTTCAAGAACTTTGTCAATTTTTGTTGTTGCTGTTATTGTTGATTTATTATTACCATATACAAAAATAGAAACTTATAAATGCCAGTTTTTAAGTTGGTGTTGGCCTTCATTGGCATTGAGATCTTCCCAAGAATCTAGGATGCTGTAATGTATTAGCATATTATATGCACGGATCTGGCCTTTTGTAATTGACAGATGGAAATTTTATCAATGCACAGATATTTTTAAGTGCTGTCCAAGAATTTTTGGTATGGCATCTAGAGTGCTGATAACCATTAGAATCGCCACAGCCAGTTTATGCCATAATCTTTCAATTTCTCAGATCTTGATAGTTTGGGATCTACCCCAAGTCTTTTATTGTACTATCTCCTGATATGGCTGCATTAAATTATCCATACTTTCTCCTTTTCAACTATAGATAAATATGGTGTGTAATAAACGAAGAAGTTATCGGTTTGTATTTGGAAACCCCCCAGTATTTTAACCTGCTCATTCTTGGCTACATTTTCAACTCTGACATTCCGATCAATTAAATTTAACCTTCATTGATGGGAAACTTATTGTTTTTACAGCTAGAATCATTTTGGCGACTGTTATGTCATTGTTAAAATCAGTTTGTGTGATCCTTTTCCACAAACCGTTCGAATTAATACAATCAGGGCCGGAACTAAAAAAAAAAAATCAACAAATAATTTGTTGCTTCGTTTCTCTGATTCATGCCAATTAATGATCATGTTGTGGAACATGGCAACCCAACTATGATAGTCTTATAGGAAGCCAAGCCTACGAAGAATATCCACAATGGGCTGTTTTGGTGTGCTGTCAGCTCTTTGAAGTAGACCAGGCTCAAAAATCAACCCCACAAGTGGCTAAAATTACTTTTACTGAGAGCGGCGATAATGGCAGAATCTTGCAAGTCTTATTGTATTGTACCTCATCCTCCTTCTAACGCTAGTTCAACCAATTGGGGAGGTGCTGTCTGAGCCCATTCCAAATACTATCTAACAGATAACAGATAATCAGAATTGGAAGGGACCTTGTAGATCACCCAGTCCAACCCCCTGCCCAAGTAGGAGACCCTACACCATTTCTGACCGATGGGAGTCTAGTTTCTTCTTGAAAGCTTCCAGTGATGAAGCTCCCACAACTTCCGAAGGCAACTTCTGTTCCATGGGTGGATTGTTCTCACTGTCAAAAAGTTTCTCCTTATTTCCAGGTTGAATCTCTCCTTGTTCAGTTTCGATCCATTATTCCTTGTCTGGCCTTCAGGTGCTTTAGAACAGGGGTCTCCAACCTTGGCAACTTTAAGACTTGTGGACTTCAACTCCCAGAGTTCCTTTGCTGGCTGAGGAACTCTGGAAGTTGAAGTCCACAAGTCTTAAAGTTGCCAAGGTTGGAGACCCCTGCTTTAGAAAATAGCTTGACCCCTTCCTCCTCTCTGTGGCAGCCCCTCATCTTTTTTTGTGCATACTTAAAATATGTCTTGACTCCCCACTTTGGACTGGGCATCACCCCATCAAGGTCCTCTTCGTTACTTTCTATATGAGGCCAGCTGTGACTTCTAGCAGCCGGGGCTGGGAGGGGAACTCAGCAGAATGAAGATTGTATAGTTTGAAGATAAACTGTGTGTAAAGGCTTTTTTTTCTTGGAACTACTGCAAGCATGGGTGCCCCATCAGGTGCAGAAAATCAAGATCCTGGCCAGAACATTGCAGCTGAACTTCCATCCAGTGGGTTTTTAAATTTTTATTTTTTTTACCTTCCCTTATGGATGGCCCGGTTTAGCACATGTATTTGTTTCTTTTCGTCTTTTTTTTTCCAATTCAGAATAGAGCTGGCAAGAATGACACATGTAAAAGCTTGGGTTAGCCTAGATCTGACAGATCATTTCTGACAGCAAAATGAAATTTAAAGTGACACATGACATCGTATGTTGAGCTCCCACCTACAGGCAAGTTGGTTTCATTTTTTTAAAGCAGCCTGAACGCTTTCTGCAATTATCTGGTTTCACTCTCATTCTGCCCTTCAACTCTTCTGAAAACATTCTCTTACTGGGGAGGGGGGGAAAAAGTCAGAGTTTCTCTCTTAATCTAAGCAAGAGTGAAAACCCTCCCATTCCCCTTTCTCTTCCCTTGCAACTTAAGACAAACTAAAATAGTAGATAGGAAACAATTTGATAAGATTACAAAACTAAATAAACCTGGATAGCATCGGTAAAACTTGGGGAGTGTTTATTTTGGTGTGTTATTCTGGGAAATGATTGATGGCAGGTTAATGGATTTGGTTGTGGAGGGCAGGCAAATAAACCAACTTCCTTAAGCGATTTATTTCAGTTTCTTTCTTCAGAAAGAACAGATCTCGTTCCCTGCTTCCAATTTACAACTGCTGGCATTCCTGTGCGCTCTATGGTTATGGCAGTGGCGCTTAGACTTATATGCCGCTTTATAGTGCTGTACAGCCCTCTCTAAGCGGTTTGCAGAATCAGCATATTGCCCCCAGCAATTCGGGTCCTCATTTTACCCACCTCGGAAGGATGGAAGGCTGAGTCAACCTTGAGCCTGGTGGGATTTGAACTGCCAAACTGTAGGCAGCTGGCTGCAGAAGTAGCTTGCAGTACTGCACTCTAACCAATGCGCCACAGAGGGTCCTTGATTATATCATAACATTGTTATGATGTGGATAAAAAGCCCGCTTCGTGAGTTTTTGGAAGATCATCTTTTCGAGCATCAAAAAGGATGAGAGCATCCATAACGTTTGCAGCAATGTGCATTGCAACTCCAATGGAGTCGAGGGAGGGTGTGAATTTGCACAGCTCTCTAAAGCCTTGCCTGTGAGAACCATAATGTTTATTTATTTTATTTATTTATTTTGTCAAGCGATTATTAGATAACAAGTATAACTATAAACGTGGTTATGAATACATGAAATGGATACGAATAAGAAAGAAAAGAAACAATGGAACAGGAATGTTAGGCACGTTGGTGCGCTTTTGCACGCCCCCTACAGACCTCTTAGGAAAGGGGTGAGGTCAATAGTAGAAAGTCTAAGGTTAAAACTTTTGGGGGAAGAAACCACAGTCAAGTAGAGTATACCAGGCATTGACCGCTCTGTTGCTGAAGTCGTATTTCCTGCAATCAAGTTTGGTGTGGTTTACCTTGAATTTGTATCTATTGTGTGCTCTTGTATTGTTGTGGTTGAAGATGAAGTATTCATTGATAGGTAGGACATTGCAATAGAAATTTTATGTACTATACTTAGATTGGACTGAAGGCGGCGTAGTTCTATGTTTTCTAGGTCTAGAATTTCAAGTCTGGTGGCATAAGGTATTCTACAACGAGTAGAGAAGTGGAGAATTCTTCTTGTGAAATATTTCTGGACTTTCTCAACTGTATTAATATCAGATATGTAGTGCGGGTTCCAGACTGATGAGCTGTATTCAAGTATTGGTCTAGCAAATGTTTTGTATGCTCTAGTTCAGCGGTTGCCCACTGGTGGGCTGTGATAAAATTTTGGTGGGCCGCAGAGAAATCTCACCTCCAGAGCACCCCCCCCACAAAGCAATTAATACAGGCTGGGCAGAAACAGAAGGCTGCTCAGCCCACATGGCCCGTGGGCACCCTCCCCGCCCACTCACTCCTTACCCAGCAAAGTTGCTATTTTTCCTTTTTCCAACGATCATCTGTTCTGCTGTGTCGGGAGATTTAGAATCGCTAGGAAGCAGGAAATGGTTGGATTTCTAGCTAAGCACAGCTGAACCTCCCTTATGACTGAAGGTTTGCTTGCAAGCAAATTCAATGCAGACTCACGTCAAGCAAATTTGAGAGACTGAGCTAGCCGATGGCAGATAGATAGATTTCTGACTGAATCTGTGATTCTGTGAGCAACTCAATCTGCCTGCCTGCTTTGCCTGATTTTGGGTAAAAGTTGCTCTTTTTTATTAAAAATTCAATATTTATATAAATATTTATAATATTTACATACAAGCCATGCCCAGCCAGTCACATGACCACCAAGCCACACCCACAAATTAGGCCACACCCACAGAACCGGTTAGCGGTCCCTGGGATCTAAAATTATGAGTGTGGTGGTCCCTGAGGTCCAAAAGGTTGGCGACCCCTGCTCTAGTTAGTACTGTGATATTACCAGAGAAATAGTTACGCAGGATTAGATTAACAACGCTTGGTGCCATTTTTGGTGAAGCAAGAAAAACTGTCCTTTCTGGAACTCATTTGTCCCTCTCTGATCTTATTTGAATTTGAATTTGTGGAAGAATAACAGCCTTTTTCTTTTTTTTCTTCCAGGGCACCAATGCCTCCGCTCTGGAAAAAGACATTGGGCCAGAGCAATTTCCACTTAATGAACACTACTTTGGACTGGTCAACGTAAGTATTATCACTCCGTTCTGCCTTCCCCTAACTTGGTGCCCTGCAGATATTTAGATATCAGCCTGTCACTTCCTTAGTAGCCTTTAGCCAAGCCGGCTAAGGATCATAGGAGTTAATAGCCAGCATAACTGAAAGAAATTGGGCTGGGAAACCCTGACATTTGAAAGAGTATTGTATTTGCAGATATGAGGGAGAAGCCTGCAAGTTAAAGAATCTCTTACAAAGTTGTAAAGGGGTTTGACTAAATGTGGATCGGTGCAGTTAAGACAGTGGATGTAGTTGTGCACGGAATCTGCATTCTCATGTCCTTGCAAAGAATCTGCTGTACTTAACCCCAAGGTGCTTTTTGCAAGAGGCAACTGGACTCTCTTGTTTTTCTTTGAAGACATCTCACTTCTCATCCAAGAAGGTTCTTCAGCTATGACTGGATGGCGGGGAATGGAAGGATATTTTTTACACCACTCAGGTGACTCTGGGGACACAGATAAACCTCCAAGTGGCCTCAACAACTCTCTACAAGGAATTCCATTCCCCACCATCCAGCGAGAGCTGAAGAAGCTTCTTGGATGAGAAGCGAAACATCTTCAAAGAAAAAAAAAAGCACCTTTGGAAATGTAATCAGACTCCGGATACTTATTATCATATGTGGTGGACATGTGTGAAGGCAAGAAAATATTGGACATACAAACATGGTTGGAGAAGATGATTAAGCAACACATAAATTTTAAGCCAGAAATATTTTTGCTAGATATAATACCAGAAAATAATGACAAAGGGACTATATACTTAATGTTACATGTATTGACAGCAGTGAGAATTGTATTTGCACAATATTGGGAAAATGAGAACACCCCACCAGATGAAAATATAATTCGTAAAATATTGGATTGTGCAGAGATGGATTGACATTGAAAATAAAAGATAAAGGAGACACAGAATACTATTTAACATGGAATAGGTTTTATCAATGGTTAGAGATAAGAGGGAGAAATTAGATGAAGAAAGAGTATTGTTATGTTTAAGTAAAATATGCATGTAGTTTATAATTTATATGTCTGCCAATATATTTAATAGGAACATAAATAAGTGAATATAATTAGAAATAGGATAGGATAGGATAGAATTCTTTATTGGCCAAGTGTGATTGGACACATAAGGAATTTGTCTTGGTGCAAATGCTCTCAGTGTACATAAAAGAAAAGATACATTCGTCAAGAATCATAAGGTACAACACTTAATAATAGTCATAGGGCAATAAGCGATCAAATCATACTAGGAAACAGTCAATATAAATCGTAAGGATACAAGCGACAAAGTTACAGTCATACAGTCACAAGGGGAGGGGAGGGGTGGTAAGGAGTAATGAGAGTAATGAGAAGGTTAATAGTAATAGTAGTGCAGACTTTGTAAATAGTTGGACAGCGTTGAGGGAATTATTTGTTCAGCAAAGTGATGGCACTTGGGAAAAAACTGTCCTTGTGTCTAGTTGGTGTGCAGTGCTCTATAGCGTCGTTTTGAGGGAAGGAATTGAAACAGTTTATGTCCGGGATGTGAGGGGTCTGTAGATATTTTCACAGCCCTCTTTTTGACTTGTGCAGTATACAGGTCCTCCATGGAAGGCAGGTGGGTAGTAATTGTTTTTTCTGCAGTCCTAATAACTCTCTGAAGTCTGTGTCTGTCCTGTTGGGTTGCAGAACCAAGCCAGACAGTTATAGAGGTGCAGATGACAGACTGAATAATCCGTCTGAAGAACTGGATCAACAGCTTCTTGGGCAGTTTGAGTTTCTGAGTTGGCGCAGAAAGAACATTCTTTGTTGTGCTTTTTTGATGACGTTTTTGATGTTAGGTGTCCATTTTAGGTCGTGTGATCTAGTAGAACCTAGAAATTTGAAGGTCTCCACTGTTGATACTGTGTTGTCTAGTATTGTAAGAGGTGATAGTATGGGAGGGTTTCTCCTAAAGTCTACCACCAAATGTAGTTAGAATTATTTTGTTATATTATTATTATTGCTATCAGTATACGTGTTATTTTTCCCCTTTTCTTTTTGTAAAATGGACAATACACTGTATTCAAAATACTTATATATGTACAAATAAATAAAAACCGACTTAAAAAAGAAAAAGAAAGAAAGCACCTTTGGGATAACCATGACCTGGATAACTGAGAATCTCCATGGAGATACTGTACTTAATGTAAAATTCTTGAAAGGACAAAGCCATTTACTGCTTTATTACGAACTCCTTTGATTCAAAATGGAGAGCAACTGAATTGCCATTTGATTGCCAGATCAAATTTAATTGCCATTTAATGCCAAATCAGATGGCAATTAAGACACCTGCAATCTTCATTCATCATTGATTGCTTGAGTAGTGATTAGCAGTGGTAGGATGGTAAAGAGCAAGCTGGATTAATAATCAGATGTTGCAATAGCCATTTTTTTTTCTGCCATCCCTTCCTTACCTGTATGCTTATTTTCAGTTTGGCAACACATGTTACTGTAACTCCGTCCTGCAAGCTCTGTTCTTTTGCCGGCCATTTCGGGAGAATGTGCTGGCGTATAAGGCCCAGCAGAAAAAAAAAGAAAACCTCTTGACCTGCCTAGCAGATCTTTTCCACAGCATTGCTACACAGAAGAAGAAAGTTGGGGTGATTCCTCCCAAAAAATTCATCTCCAGGCTACGGAAGGAGAATGGTATGTGTAGATCCAAGCTATGCAAGCCAGTGGTGAATGGAGCTGTCCCTCTCATTTTTTCAGGGTGCCGTCTGATTTTAGTCATATAGTTTACGTATTTCATATGTGTTCTGACCAAAGGCTTCCCGAGACACCAACAAACACAAGTTAAATCCAAAACCCTTTTATTTTAGTTCAACAGCTGTGAGTTATTGTCATTCACAGCCCATAATGAGTCTCAACCAGTTATAAATAGTCCCTTAAGAGAGTTCAAAACATTTTCAAAGATCCATCTCATCCTGGGCACCCTGTTTTTGAACTATTACCATCTGGAAGACAGTACAGGATAATAAAAACAAGGACAAAGAGGCTGAAAAACAGCTTCTATCCCAGGGCAGCAGCTCTTTTGAATTCTACTGTATAGTGCAGCGTTGATGTAGTGTTGGGGTTTTCAATTCAATGTGTGGAGCATGAAAGATGTGTGTTTGTGTTTATTTTCATGGTCATGATGTGCACTGAAGATCGTGTTTGATTTTGTTGTACGAGGTGGAATGACAATAAAGTAAGCTAAACCATGGAAGTCTGCCAAAGTTCTTTGGGAGAAGTCTGATAAGAATGCACCTTTATCTTTCTTGAAGTGCTGCCAATGACTAAGGTACCAGTTAGTCTTTCAAAACCCAACGGAACACAAATTCACCACGGAGCTTTCGGGTTCCAAACCGACCAGAGCAAACAACGTTGCTTCCTGCAAAGGTTCCTGTCCCTTTGCACTTCCTTTATATCTTACAGGAGGGGCAATCACCTCCCAGCCTTACACCTGAGTCACCCCTTTTGTCTCAGCTGCTCTTGCCTTCTTGCAGCTCTCTGCACACATGCACTGGGAACAGGCTCCCCTGGTTCCTCTGTCTGGCTGCTGACAGATTCTGGAGACTCCGGAGTCAGCGCCCCACTCCCAGATGGTCCTAGCCCAACCTCTGCATCGCACGCACAACCAACGTCCGAGTCCTCCCCAGATTCCCGGACTTGCCCCTGTTCTTCCCCACTGTCCGATTCTGCTGCCGTCTCCACAGGCTGCTGGCGGACCACAACAATATGTTGATTGTTTAATGACCCCGTAATCCCTTGCAGGGTGGAGTTGGGGCAACTGAATGGAGCTGAGTTTTACTGGCCAGATGCCCTTCCTGTCGCCAATGAGGAGTTTTGTTCAGCAGATGCATTCTCATTGTGCCCAGAGAGAGAAATATCTGCCTCCACCTAGGATCGAACTCACAGCCTCCTGATTGTGAGGCAAGAGCTCCACCTCTAGGCCACCACACCACTCTTTACATATACCATATCTTGAGATGCAAAAATCTGGATGGTTACCAGTGGAAGCCACGGAGTTTTCTCTTTTCTGCCATATAGTCGTTGTCTGTGCTTTTACAGCCCAGTTGTTGTGTTCTACAAGCCAGTGTTTTGAAGCCTGACCACTGTCTGAGCCTTGAGTGTGACTGACCTAAGGACACCCAGCAGGCTTTGTGCCTAAAGTGGATCTAGAGCTCACGGTCTCCTGGTTTCTAACCTGATCCCTTAACCACCACACCAAACTGGCTCACCCATAGCAGCCTAGAGCCCAGGTGTGCTACTAATACTTCTCCATTGACTTTGTATATAACTTCAGCCAACTCTGATGGGTTTTAAATGCGTGCACCAGTCTAGGGGGATGAGAAATTCAAGGGCAGGGAATGACTGCTGCTTCAGGGAGCTGCAGTTTGTGCTTTCCTATTTTGGGGGCCCCGGGCCTCTCTTCCCCAATGCCTTTTGAGGAAAGTTAACAGAGGGAGAATTTTGCACTGTATCTCATTGGGTGGCATGCTAGATCCCAGCTGTATAACATCTTTGCTATATAACATACAGGTGATTGTTGTTAGTCGCAAAGTCGTGTCCGACCCATCGCAACCCCATGGACAACGTTCCTCCAGGCCTTCCTGTGTTCTACCATCCCCCGGAGTCCATTTAAGTTCACGCGGACTGCTCTCAGTGACTCCATCCAACCACCTCTTTCTCTGTCGTCCCCTTTTTCTTCATTTGCTCTCAATCGTTCCCAGAATTAGGCTCTTCTCCGGTGAGTCCTTCCTTCTCATGAGATGGCCAAAGTCTTTGAGTTTCATCTTAAGGATCTGGCCTTCTAAAGAGCAGCCAGGGTCGATCTCCTCTAAGACTGACTGGTTTGATTGCCTTACAGTCCAAGGGACTCGCAGGAGTCTCCTCCAGCACCAGAGTTCAAAGGCCTCAGTTAGAAAGCCTCATATATAGTTATATAAAGCCTAACATATAGTTAGGATTAAAAAAATGTACTAAACCACAAATTATGCTAGATCTTCTCTATTTAGATCCCTTTTGGGACAAATCTTAGCAGAAACAAATCTGTGTTTGGCCTGCATAAGGTCACACATAACTTCTTGTGGTTCGTCGGTAGCCTATGCAGTCGGCAGCAGAATCTGACAGTGGGGAAGAACATAGGCCAGTCCAAGAGTCTGAGGAGGACTCGGAAGAGGGTCCTGCATCCGATACAGAGATGGGGCCAGGACCATCTGGGAGTGGGGTGCTGACTCCAGAGCCTCAGAGTCCAGCAGCAGCAAGGCAGAGGAACCAGGGGAGCCTGTTCCCAGTGCGCGTATGCGCAGAGCTGCTAGAAGGCAAGAGCAGCTGAGACAAAAGGGGCGACTCAAGAGTAAGGCTGGGTGGTGATTGCCCCTCCCCTAAAGTATAAAGGAGGTGCAAAGGTAGAGAAACCTTTGCAGGAAGCAAAGTCGTTTGCTCTGTTTGGATTAATCCTTGAAGCTCTGTGTGGACTTTGTACTTCAGTTGTTGTTTTTTACAGTTAATTTGGCCCTTTAGTTATTGGCAGCAATTCAAAGGAGAGAAAGGTGGGTGCATATCTCAAGGAACTGTTTGGGACTCATTACAGGCTGGGAATGAACATAATTCCCAGCACTGAAATAAAACAAGAGTTGTTTGGAATTAAGCATGTGCTTAATTACAGTCTCAGAAAGCCTTGGTCAGAACATAATTCCTGGGTGAAGGACATATTTTTGTACCAGAAGAAAAAATGTCCTAAGTCCACCTGCATTTCTTCCTCCTTGTATGAAAAATGTCCTTCAGTCAGGAGTTGCCTCACTCAGGGCACTACCTGGAATGATCATGACCCCTCAAGGAATCCTGTACAGAATCCATGAAGCGACAGCTGTTAGAATCCTCAGTTTTGCTAACTGTCCTGACTGCCAGGGCCAGCCACAGGCATAGGAACTGGCCTTAGGATTGTAAATTAAAGCCTGGGGACTGAAGAGATAAATGGGTATAGTTTTGGGCATCTGGTTTTTCTTAAATTTGATTTTTTTAAAAAATTCCTTTCATTCTTTTCTTTCTGTATTGGTTTTTACTCGTGTCTTTATCCCTGAATCCCAGAAATAGTGCGCACTACAAAATGGGTGGCTCTAACCATCTTTTACATAAATAAAGATATATCCTTTCCTCTTTTTTTTTTAATAGATCTTTTTGACAACTACATGCAGCAGGATGCTCACGAATTTTTGAATTACTTGCTGAACACGGTTGCTGACATTCTACAAGAGGAGAAAAAGCAGGAAAAACAAAATGGCAAATTGAAAAATGGAAACATGAACGAAGCAGAAGAGAACCATAAGCAGGAGCTCACGTGGGTGCACGAGATCTTTCAAGGAACCTTGACCAATGAAACGAGATGCTTGAACTGTGAAACTGTAAGCACTGGCAGGGTTAAAACAAGAATTACCTGTAAACAGCTGGATAATCCTTGCACGGTCAAAGAAAATTGTACATTTATGAAAGTCACTGAAATGAGAATGGTCCTAGTAGTTGGTAAAGAGGTTTATTTATTATGTCTGTGTTTGGGGCCATTTATCTGTCCCCATTTATTGTGAATGTGTTAGAGTTTGCAGCAGAAATTCAAATCCAGAAGGCACGCACAGATGACTGATTCAGCAGGACTCATCAACTTCTTTATATACATAATAAAATTTTAAGTAAATGTACAATACCCATGTAAGTTCTTCCAACGTGGTAGTAGAAAGTTACAGGCAAAACACAGGCAGAGGAGAGAACAGCAGAGAACAGTTCACCGATGGGATTCAAAAATCCCAGCAATCGGTTCACTGCCCGGTTGCTAGGTGGGCGTGGCCATGGTGGGTGTGGCCTACCGGAACTTCCTATTTCTGGCTTCCGGTAGGCCTCCGGAGCCCAGGGGAAGCTGTTTTTGTGCTCCCAAGGGTCTGGAGGCCTCCCTCCCAGCCTCTGGGAGGGTGAAAACAGCCTCTCCCTGAGCTCTGGAGGCCCACCAGAAACAGGCCTGTTTCCAAACTTCCGGAAGATCCGTTTTTCCCCTTTCAGAGCCTCCACACAGACCCTGCACTTACCTCCATTGAAAATGGGTGGCTTGAAAAATGGCCGAAAAGGAGACTCCGGGGAGGGGAGGGGAGGGGCCAGCCAGTCGGTTGAAGTAGCGGTTCAGCGAACCAGATGTAACTTTAACATCCGGTTCGCCCGAACCGGTAGAATCCGAGCCCTGGAGCAGTTTCAGTTTTCATTCATAGTTGCACTTTCAGCTTCATAGCTCAGAGCTTAATATAGAGCCATGCCTGGCCTCCTTTCAGTTTCCAAACAGTCCTCATTGGCTGACTTAGTTGCTATGCCTATTCATTGGCTGACCTTGTTAGCATGCCTCTGCCAGTTGATGAATATTCAGACAGAACATTATTTTTTAAAAGGACCGCTGATCTCTCAGTCCAGTTTCTTTATATATGCAAAGAGCACTGGGGGCATAATTTTAATAGCAGTAGCACTCAGACTTCTATACCCCTTCACAGTGCTTCACAGCCCACTCTTAAGCGGTTTACAGAGTCAGCATATTGCCCCCAACAATCTGGATCCTCATTTTACTCACCTTGGAAGGATGGAAGGCTGAATCTTGAGCCTGGTGAGATTTGGGTTAACAATGCTGGAAGATGAATTGGGCTGAGAGAGAACGATTGACCCAAAAGTCACCCAGACAATTTTCACAACTAATGATAAACATATAAAATAAAATCCTGCCTTAGAGATATGCCGAATACACAATCATAGTTACAAAAACTAAACCACGATTAGATGTTACCCCTACATTGGACCACAAATGCCTGAGCGGGGGGTGGGTGGGTAGGTTGGGAGGGTTGGACTTGAAGACCTCCCAAGGTCCCTTAACAGCTCTGTTCTTCTATTCCAAATGCAAATCTGTGGTTGTAGAAATTCATTTGGTAATAATTTGGATTGGGGAAGTTGGCTGCCTCAGTGTTTCTCTAAGATTCAGTGAGGCCTTTCTGGTGTATTGACAGGATAAGAATCATTCTTCTCGGCTAAAGTAATATGTTGCAAGGCTTTAAAATGCTATTAAATCTTGTTTTTGTGGCAGGTTAGCAGCAAAGATGAAGATTTTCTTGATCTCTCTGTTGATGTAGAACAGAACACATCCATAACTCACTGTTTAAGGTAAACACGTTTTCACAATGGCCGGCATTGTTTTCGCTTTATGGTTGTTAAAGATTAGTGGATAGTGAAAAGAAAAAAAGTTATATAGGTGTTTCAGAACGACGGAGCAAAAATCAAATAAAGAAGTGTCATTAAAACTTTTCTTGGCAGGCAGGAAGTCAGAATACCTGGTGTAGCAGAATATTTGACAAAAGGTGGATGTTTTTGAATGCCTCTGTTATTTGCTTCAGAGAAGTCCCATTGGTTGTAATAGGATTAGTCAGAATCAAATAGATTGAGAATAAGACACACAAGAAAGAAACCCAACCGTGAAAGTCGTCTATTATTTGTCAGGCCACAAGCCTTTTATTTAATAATACAAAGCATTGCTCTTTGTCCTGCCCTGTTGTGGTTAGCCGGCAGCAGGTGCGGACAGCTGAGGAGAGCGAGGACTCAGATGAGGGGACAAGACCATTAGAGAGAGGACTGCTGCCTTCAGAAATTGTGGGGGCTGGCAGCAGCAATGAGGAGGTTCCCGAGGAGCCTGTGCCAAGTGCTCATGTGCTCGCAGGAAAGAGCAGTTACAGCAGCACGGGTGACTCAGGAGTAATGCTGCAAGGTAATGGCCCCTCCTTCAAGAAGATAAAAGCCAGCTGTGAATCGGACCTTCTTTGCAGGAAGCAAAGACATTTTGAAACTCAGCCTTGTGGACATTACAGTATCCTAAGTTGGTGTTTGAAGACCATTGTGTTGTGAAATATTTCTTAATCTGTTATTCTTGGCAGCCTCGCACAGTTTTGGCGAGGCTTCTGTTTATCAAAGTTAAATAGTTTGCAGCAGCCTTTTAACCGGGGATTCATAAGAATCATTAAAAGCTTTCTGTTCCATTTGATTCGTGTTTGTTTTATTGGAAAAGGGTTTGGGTCAGAACATGCTCAAACCTTACCGTTTACCAGCTAACATTGCCTTTTTGGAAAATGTGATACGCCTAGCTCTTATAAAGACTGTGTTGGGAAACTAGGGGTGATAGTAACAGACGGTGTGTTCATGTCGCACCGATATACCAGGAAGATGCAGTGGAGATTATTTAACTTTCTTTCTAACCTTTTCCCCCCCTTTCCTGGACTCCATTCATGCTTTTGTAATGTTGCCCCATCGTTTTTTCCGTGTCGTTTCTAGGGCTTTTACATTTTTGACAGTCTTAGGGAAATGCTAATGATTCTTAGCTGGGATATTTTATTGCTTTTTACTGTTTTTATGTCCATGTTTTTGTTTTCGTTTGCTGGCTGTGCTGATTTGGGTGGCCATATGTATTTATCCAATGAGTGAGCTCGTAAAGAAATTGCAGGAAGGAGGAAGTGCACCGACATTTGTGTAACAGCAGCATCCTAGGTTTGCTGTTTATGCATGCAATCGATATGAGTGCCTCAAGATAACAGCAGGCATGAAGCTACCATGAAGCCAGGCGTAATAAACAATTCACCGCCATGTCTGGGCTATTCAAAGACATCTAAAAATCGGTACCCCTATTACTTTTCAGAGACTTCAGCAACACCGAAACATTGTGTAGCGAACAGAAATACTACTGTGAGACCTGTTGCAGCAAACAGGAGGCTCAGAAACGGTATGTAAAAAGGGTTGTCTCATCCCTGGGCAGCTTCTTGGATAGATTTTTTACAAGCAGCCATTAAAGCAAACTGACCTTCAACCTGTGTTGGAATAACATTTCAGATAATCGCAATAGCACTTAGACTTATATACAGCTTCACAGTGCTTTACAGCACTCTTTAAGACGTTTATATAGTCAGTGTCAGGGCTCTGGTAGTTATCCCCATTTAAATCATGAGTCTCTAGCCAGATTTTCAAAACTTAAAGAAGATTTATTAGGAGTAAACATGCCGGCACTGCCTGCGTGTAGCCGACTCTGAGGCCCATCATTCGTTGTCACCCTTGACCCTGGTTTTCCCTCCAGCCCCTGGATGTATCGTAATTCCTATCCTCCAATGGGACACCTCCCTAGCCCAAAGTCATCAATCACGCTCTCCAGTTAGAATTTTGCACGGCAGAAACCTCGGTCGCCTAGAAACTATCTTTGAAAACATTTATGGGATGCCAGTTGCCCATTTGTTCGCAATGCAAACGCAGTGCAACTCTGAAAAGGCCATAGACACGTATTTGATGAGTTGACAGTCAGCACATTTCCCCCCAACACTCTGGGTCCTTTGGCTTTGCAGGATGAGGGTGAAGAAGCTTCCAATGATCCTTGCCTTGCATCTGAAGCGGTTCAAGTATATGGAGCAGCTACACCGGTACACCAAGCTCTCTTACCGAGTGGTCTTCCCCCTGGAGCTGCGACTCTTCAACACATCGGGAGAGGCCATCAACTTGGATCGCATGTATGACTTGGTGGCTGTTGTCGTTCACTGTGGCAGGTAAGTTGCACTCTGGGCTCTGCCAGGAAGTTAAACCCGACGTGAGGTAGCCTGCTCTCTGTAGCTCACCCAGCTGATCAAGTGCCTATCAGTCCGGAAGCCAAAAGAAGGTTCCCTTCTATTGCTCCGAAGAGCTTTTATATACCCAAATAGACCTTGAGGCATTCATAAGTAGGCAAGCTTGTCAGGTTAAAATAATAATCTCTTTCGATGGTCCTCGGGAGGTTCTAAAATTCATACATTCAGATAACAGATAATCAGAGTTGGAAGGGACCTTGTAGGTCATCTAGTCCAACCCCCCACCCACCCAAACGGGAGACCCTACACAATTTCTGACAAATGACAGTCCAATCGCTTCTTGAAAGTCTCAAGTGATGGCTCTCCCACAACTTCTGAGGCAACTTCTGTTCCATTGGTTGATTGTTCTCACTGTTCTCAGAAAATTTCTCCTTATTTCCAGGTTAAATCTCTCCTTGATCACCTTCTATCCATTATTCCTTGTCTGGCCTTTGGGTGCTTTGGAAAATAGCTCGACCCCCTTCTCCTCTCTGTGGCAGCCCTTCAAATATTGGAAGACTGCTAACCTGTCTCCCCTGGTCCTTTCTTCACTAGACTAGCCACGCACAGTTCCTGTAACTGTTCTTCATATGTTTTAGTTTCCAGTCATCCTGGTTGTTCTCTGTACTTTTTCTAGAGTCTTAACATCTTTTGTATAGTGTGGGGACCAAAACTGGTCACCACATTATAAAACTGATCACCACATTATTTTTATATGAATGAATGAATGAATTCAATTTTGGTCACCACATTATAATGTGATGACCAAAATTGAATTCATTCATTCATTCATTCATTCATTCATTCATTCATTCATTCATTCATCCATCCATCCATCCATCCATCCATCCATCCATCCATCCATCCATCTATTCATTCATTGCAGCAGAAAAGATTGGTTGTGTAGAAAGAAAGAAAGAAAGAAAGAAAGAAAAGGGAATCTGCCTGCTCAGATTTTGGGAAGGAAGAGATAAGGCTGCTATATTGATCTTTTTTTAAAAAAATCTCATCTCCATTCTAGTCAGAATAAAAAGAATAAGAAGGTGTCTTCTCTTTTCCATCTAGTGACTATATACAGACTGTGTCACTATTTTGTTCCTTGATTTTTGCATATAAGAGGCACAATTTTGTGCATACTCTAGCACAGGGGTCGCCAACCTTTTGGACCTCAGGAACCACAAAACCCATAATTTTAAATCCCACGGACCAGAGACTCTAAAAATCCCCAAAAAAGTCTGCAGGAAAATTCCCCACCACGTTTTCCTACCAATCGATCATTCTTTACTTGGGATTGCAGAGAGACTTTTGGCTTCATGCAAGGAAATCAGCAGAAGCAGCAGAAGTCTTTCTTTCTCTCCCCCGAACTCCACCAAAAATGAATCTTTGTGTGACTTGTCATGCTGGCACAGCCTCTTGGAGCAGGAGGCCTTGCAGGGTCCCAAAGATCCATTTCTGGCGGAGTTTGGAGGAGAGAAAGAAAGACCTTTGCTGTTTTCCTTGCGTGAAGCCAAAAGCAGAAGAAGACAGAAGCGGAAAGAAGCAGCCCGGTGGCCAGGCCAGGCGCGTGGGGCGAGTGGGGCAAGTTCCCCCTCTCCGCCCTTTCCACCCTCCCCTCACTACCTCATGTTGTTCGCAATGCAAACAACGTAAGCCTTGTGTTCCCGCGGGCCATGTGAGTGCCATACCCTTGTGTTCCCGTGCAGCTTGGATTAATTGCTTTGGGGGTGACATTTCTCTGCGGACCACCAAAATTTTCTCACGGATCACTAGTGGTCCCCAGCCCACTGGTTGGCGACCGCTGCTCTAGCGGCTGCGCATCGTGTTTGTGTAGGAGGAGTATCTGTCTGGAGGCTTTTGCTTCTTTGCATAAACACAAGGTCACATTAAATGCATCTCGTGTAACCTGAGCACAACTCCCACACCGACATAAAAATATTCAGGTGTGGAAATGACCTATCTGAGAAAACTAGCTGACTCCTTTTGCACATTTCCCCAAAGTTGGGCAATTTGTCCCATCAGGAAAGCATCAAATGGGGCCTTCTGCCTATCGCAGGAGCAGAGCTTAGCTAATAACAGCTGTCAGGGAGATGTTTCTCCATCAATGCTATCTTATCTTTTAAAGAACCACAGATTGACTTAGTGAAGGAGGAAGGAAAGAGTTGTTGTTTTTTTCCTGTGCTGGAGACATATAGCCTAGGAAAGATACACTGATTTTGTGCTTTGTTTTTAAGCTTCTCCAGACAAATGATGATTGATTGCTTACGTGCAAAACATTGGGCTAGATGTTCTGGTCTCATCCTGACAAAGAAAGGAAGGCAGCTATTTCCAAGCAGTTTGTTAATATAGGCACAGTTCTGATTCAAGTCCCAAAACACCTGATTTTTCTACAGATCACACATTTTTCTTCATTTCCTGCTGTGGGGTTCATGGGCTTATGAAGTCCTGCAAATTAGCCTCTCATCCTTCGGATAGTCACTCATATTGTCGGTGTCTTTAATGGCTGGGATTAAGATGGCGGACATTCAAATTCGTGAGGAGCCCTTGTTAGAAAATATGGTCCTGTGTAAAAGCTGGGGGCTAAAAGATTAATGAGTAATGAAGTTGCAGAACTTCCCATTAAAATGTAAAAACAAGATGCTTACAATAATAACTGATCTGGATACAGGTAGCTTACTTACCATTCAATCGTGTCAGATGTCCATTGTATTCAGAGTCCAAACTAGGTTTATGAAGAGATGCCTGAAGACAGTGAAAACTCACTGCTGTCTAAACTATGGGAGGGAAGCCAAACAAGGACATTTCCTGTGTTGTTAAATCCAGAGGTTCCTTTCACCAACAATAAGCCAGGTGAGAAATAGTCACATGAAGCTCCTGCCCTTGAGCTGTCTCTCATCATTAACCCTGTCAGTCCAAATAAGCGCAAAGACATGATTCAGTCCCCCATAAAGATTAAAATGTCATTTTTTTTAGAGGGATTTTGTTGTTGTTGTTCATTTTAAATCGTCTTTTTAAAAGGTCAGAAAGTCTTTTTTTTTTTAAAGAATTTTTATTTGTTAGGACAAACATACACATACAAAACACAAAACCATCTTCCATTTTGTATACATACAGTGTGTCAGTTGGTTACAATTTTTTTGTGCTATCCTTTTGCAGTTATTACAGTTTATATCAATTTTCACATTGTCAAACTAACATATGTTTATATATTTATCAGTTATTAATCATCCATGACTAAACTATTTATTCCATCATTTTATACGAGATATTCCAAATTTTATCTTAAAATTTATGTTATATTTTCAACCAATGGTTATATATGTCTATATTATGTTTTATATCAATCTATTAAATTTCTATCACAAAATTATCTAATCTATTACAAAAGACTTTACCATGTCTTCTTGTCCAACCATTGATAAAACAAATCCCATATCATATAAAATTGTTTATCTTCTTGTTCTCTAATTTCAAATGTCAATTTACTCATTTCAGCACAGTCCATAATTTTCTTAATAATTTCCTCCTGCATAGGTATTTTATCGTTTTCCCAATTCTTAGCAAATACAATCCTAAAGGTCAGAAAGTCTTATGACCTGCCATCATCATCCTCTTCTTCTTTTAATGACTCCATCCCTTGTGGGGTGGAGTCTGAGCAACTGAATGGAGCTGGATGTTTACTGACCGGATGCCCTTCCTATCACCAATGTGGAGTTTTGTTCAGTAGATACATTCTCCTTGTGCCCAGAGAAAGAAATACTCTCTAAAATGGCTCAGTGGCTAAGACACTGAGCTTGTTAATCAGAAAGGTCGGCAGTTCGGCAGTTCGAATCCCTAGCGCTGTGTCGCGGAAGGAGCACCCGTTATTTGTCCCTAGCAGTTTGACAGCATGTAAAAAATGAAAGTAGAAAAATAGGGACCACTTTGGTGGGAAGGGAACACCATTCCATGCTGCGCCTTCGGCATTTAGTCATGCTGGCCACATGACCACGGAGACGTCTTTGGACAGCGCTAGCTTGTCCAAAGCGCTAGCTGGAGATGAGCACCGCCCCCTAGAGCCAGGAATGACTAGCATGTATGTACGAGGGGAACCTTTACCTCTACCCAGGATCGAACTCACAGCCTCCTGATGGTGAGGTGAGAGCTCCAGGCCACTGCTCCACTCTATGGCCAGCCAGCATGACATGGCGAATCAGCAGTGGGTAGGGAACCTTGAAATTTTTTTGATCCCTCTCCCTGCAAGCAGTCCTGGTGGTAAGCAAAGAGTGGATAGAAATAATGGGAATGCGGGGAAATACATTTGTTTGATGCATTGTGCAATTTTCTATGCCACTTGCTTAAAAGTGACATCAACGGATGACGAGGAACAGCTTACAGCTCCAGGGGCAAGGAGAGGCTTGTTCAGTGCCAACTTCCAGCTCTGGACAGAAAACAAGAATAGCAAACATCTGAATCTGTTTGCAAATGGTTGCTTCACCCAGTAGGGTAGATGAGAGGCAGCTGGACTCACAGCTTTGGCTATGGGCATTGTTTAAAAAAGGGTGGCTGAATGTGCTGTATAAAAACATTCCTTCACACTGGAGACTAGATGTTAGATACAATATTTAAAGAGCCTTTTGTTTTTGTTTTATTTTTCTGTAGCATACTGAGTCTGGACTGCCCAGCGTAGCCGTCCCGAACTGTCAATCCCCCTCTCCTTACTCAGCTCAGCCTAGCCGAGCAGTCCTGAAGCTGTGTTTGGGTGATTTTTTTTCCCCCAGACCCTTGAAAAACGTTGCTTCTTGCAGATGATCCCTACTTTAGTCTGCTTGCATCTGCTCAATACATTGAGGGGACCGTTTGATAGGATTTAGTCCTGTGAAAACCCAAAGAAAAAAGGAATCCCTGTCTGTTTCCAACACCACCATCCTGTCCCTGTTGTCTAAACATCTCCTTCAAAGTATTTGAAAGAGCTATATGTTTACTCCGGGGAGCTCATTATTGGGGAGGGAGGAAGAGAGAGGTGTGAATACGAGCTCTCTTGAGCTCATACTGGCAAGATGGCAGCAAGGGAAGAAATCAGCAACGCTAAATGTTCTGGAGCAGTGGTGGAATACAAAACAGAGGTGGGTATTCAGCAGGTTCTGACCAGTTCTAGAGAACCGGTAGCAGACATTTTGAGTAGTTCGGAGGACCGGCAAATCCCGCCTCTGACTGGCCCCGCCCCCATCTATTCCCCGCCTCCCGAGTCCCAGCTGATTGGCTGGACCTTCTTTTGTTGCCCTGCACAAGAGAACGGAGCTGGAAAGCAGGTTAGTGGGGTGGGGAGGGAATGGGGATATCCTTCCCCTGGAGTAGGGTGGAAATTGAGATTTTGCAGTATCCTTCTCCTGCCACGCTCACCAAACTACGCCCACCAAGTCACGCCCACAGAAACGGTAGTAAAAATATTTGAATCCTATCGATTCAAAATATTTTACCACCAGTTCTGTGGGTATGGCTTGTTGGGCATGGTATAGCTTGGTGGGTGTGGCTTGGTGGGCGTGCAGGGGAAGGATAGATGACCTAACCAATCAGCTGGGACTCGGGAGGCAGAGAATAGATGGGGGCAGGGCCAGTCAGAGGTGGTATTTGCCAGTTCTCCAAACTACTCAAAATTTCCGCTACCGGTTCTCCGGAACCGGTCAGAACTAGCTGTATACCACCACCTCTGCTTCACCCAGGTCAGCTTCAGAGTTGACCATGAGTTAATTGGGTTACTTTGGACCAGTCACACTCTCTCAGCCCCAGAAGAAGATCATGGCAAGCCACTTTCAAAAATGTTGCCAAGAAAACTTCAGGGATTTGCCCAGGGAGATGCCAGGGGCCAAGGTTAACTTGAAGGCACATATGCGCACCCATTCATACATACACAAACGCCCTCTCATACATCCTTCCCCCCCCGTGTCTTCCCTTTTTGGCCCACTTGCCATTGGGACATTGGTGGTGCCAAATGAACACAGAGGCTGGTATGAAGAACGTTCACCTGCAGAAGTCCTCACTTGTGCGTGAAAGAAACAGCGAGAAAAGGATTCAGTGTCACCCTTGGCTTCTAGGAAGAAGAAGTCGACACAGATGTTACTTTCATTACTTTTGTGTTTAAAAAATTCTCTGGGATTCTGGATTTTTTATTTTAATTTGTGAGTTTTTTTCCTTCCTTCCTTCCTTCCTTCCTTCCTTCCTTCCTTCCTTCCTTC